CAATTGCGATACCACCTACCAGAACTTTCCTTTCCCTCTTTCCAAATGCAGAAGCACGCACGTGCCCTTTGGTTAAGGTAGCTATGGGCATACGTGGTGCGGTCTGTGATGACGCTAGTCTCTAGGTAACGGGGTTTGTCATCTTGCTCTCCCCATTAGACTGTAAGGTCTTCGAAGTAAAGAATGATGTCCTTTTCTTTCTCTGTAACTCCCCAGAGCCCAATTCGGTGTCGCTCTGTGTCTACCAGGTGTCCGATAAACACTGCTGACAATGTAAACAGAGTTCTTAGCACTTACAAATGAGAAAATGCCCACATTCACTGTCAAAGGTTTTTTGTTTTGTTTTTAAAGATTTCTTGGATTCAATGCATGTGTGTGTGTGTGTGTGTATGAAAGAGAGAGCAATGAAAGCCTCAGAGATGAAGACGACCTGAGAATGGAAAACATGAAGACACATAGAGATAAAGAAAAGCACGCAGACCCACAGCGCGAAAGACCAGCACATAGAAACCCATGGGGCTCCTTCCAGGCTCAAATTTATATATTCATGTATTTTAAAATGACGTAGCCAACACTGTGGTCCAAGATTTTGTGATTTCAGGTGTTTTACCCCACACACCCCGGCTGTGGGAAAACAGACAGAAGACGGGTGTCATACCACTCAATAAGCCAGGTGTCACGGCCCCAGGCCCTTGAAACACATCACCCACACCTTTCTACTGAGCCTGGGAATTCTTGCCACCTTTGGTGAGGCTGCCAGAGTTTTTCCTTCCAAACTATAAAGTCCTTCATGAAGCCAGGCCTCAGTTACGGGATTGTTGACACTGAGTGTGACAGCTGCCACTCAACACGGGCGCCAGCAAAGCCTGCTCCATGCCACTAGGGAGAGGAGACAGCATGCAGTGGAAGAAGCCACGGCCAAGGGTTGGCAGTGTGGACAAGTCACGCCACCCTTCAAGGTGTCAGTCGTCCGGTCTGCGAGAGGAGACACAATCCCTGCGCAGCCCAGTGGCTGAAGTGAGGCTCTGCTGTAACGGGGTGACTCATGGGCACGTGCGGGACAGCGGGGAGTGCTGTCTGCCACCCGGACTCACGGCCCCCTGCAGCTGGGATTTCTACAGGGAGGAGAATTGGACTAGAAGAACAAATCCCTTCCTGTGTGATAACTGTTTTAAATTTTTTGACGCTTTAAAAAAATGGCTATAAAAATATCAAATTGTAAAGAAATCAGAACCAATCAGATCACGCATAATTACATAATGCACCTTAGTGATGAAGAGCATGAGCTTTCAAGTGGCAAAGACCCTTGTTCGAGTCCCCACCCCCCCACTTACTAACTGTGTGACCTTGGCTGAGTTACTGAATCTCTAGAAACCTGGGCTTGCTCAGCAGTAACATGGGATTAAAAACAGTACTTGTCTGGGACTTCCCTGGTGGTCCAGTGGCTGAGACTCCGCACTCCCAATGCAGGGGGCCCGGGTTTGATCCCTGGTCAGGGAACTAGATCCCACATGCCACAACTAGAGATCCCACATGCCACAACTAAGAGTTCGCATGCCACAACTAAACAAAAACGATCCCGTGTGCCACAACTAAGACCCGGCGCAGCCAAATAAATATAAAAAAAAAAAAGTAGTACTTGTCTCACAAAGGCAATAGGAGGACTAAATGAGATACTTTGTCAAACATTCTGATACACAGTAAGCTCTCAAGATAACTGGCAATCATTACTATTGTTCAGTACTTCCTCCCATTATCTGCGATTCATCTTATACAAACACAGTTAAAAGTATGCAAGTAACCGGGGCTTCCCTGGTGGCGCAGTGGTTGAGGGTCCACCTGCCGATGCAGGGGATGTGGGTTCGTGCCCCAGTCCGGGAAGATCCCACATGCCGTGGAGTGGCTGGGCCCGTGAGCCCTAGCCGCTGAGCCTGCGCGTCCGGAGCCTGTGCTCCGCAACGGGAGAGGCCACAACAGTGAGAGGCCCGCGTACCGCAAAAAAAAAAAAAAAAAGTATGCAAGTAACCAAAATCTCCTCTGAACAACCAACACGATGTTGCAGTGTAAATGCATAAAAGCCTGGGTATTTTGTTCACACAGCCATGCCCAGATTCTCATTTAGTGTGACTCCGTACACAAGTCTAATAGCACTTAATAATGATGGACACTTGATCGACCACCTACTGTGCACCCGGCACTTCACTAAATGTGTTACATTTGTTATCACACTGGACCCTCACAGTCCCACAAGTACAGTCATCTCCCGCATTCTACAGATGAGGAAGTAGAGGCTGATAGAAGCTAAGCGACTTGCCCCAGGTCAAACTGATTAAGTAGGAAACTCAGGATGTGAACTCAGCCAGTCTGATGCCAACCCACACTCTAATCAATGCCCTACAGCGCCTCCATGACCATCCTGGTGATTCTGTCTCCAGGCTTGTGGCAGGTTAGAAAAAAGAGCTCGAGGGGTGGAGGGAACTGAAGTGACAGGTACCGTGACACGTGATGGATTGACGGATTAACAGGGAGACAGGAAAGGGAAGGGGATAAAAAGCTCACAGAGAAAGGCTTCCATGGCACAGCTGTCCAGACCCAGTCATACCAGGGGTCAGAGCACCCTAATATATTATTCAAAGCCCCCGAGAGTGTCATGATTCCACAGCACAGTGCGATAATTTTCACTCTGCCATCAAGAAAAATCAAATTGCGTGCTCAGGAAGACAGAAAAAAAAATGAGGGGATAGGGGACCGTGGGTGATATATTAAAGGGGTGGGTAGATTCCCTCGGGACAGCGCATCTACGTTGAATACCATTTGACAATTTGCATAAATAAGGCACCGCCTTTGAAAAAGATGATACACTATTCAAGTAAGAGTTAAGGAAATACCAGCACCCGGGTGTCATCTGGATACTTTTTGTTCGTGGATCCTTACCTTTTATTTTAACCCAGCTTCTATGAAGTCTTGAGACAAAAAACCCTTTAGTCCTCTCTGCCTCTCTCAGTTTAGAATCATGTCTTTGGTGCCTTTAGCCAGGGTAGCATTTAAGGGTCTCACAAACTAATTGCATCAGGTAATTGAAAGGAACATGTATTGAAAATAAGGATGTAAATATTATTTTTTTTAAAATGGAGGACAAAAAGGTATTAGGTGGCCTTCTTGTCACAGGCAGCTGTCACCTGGACTTTTAGCGTCCCCTTCGGGCACAGGCCAGGCTGGCAGAGAAAAAGGGACTTGTGTTAAATCACAAGACTCATTTCCAATCAGAAGCCACTCATGGCTTCCTGTTCATAACCTTAGCTCACTGCCCCTTAAAGTGAGATTTTGTTTTATGCCTATTCACATTATATTCCCTAAGCTCCAGAAAAACTGCTTTCAAAGTCTCAAAATGAAGCTTAGAACATGATGGCTTGAAAGGTGTTTAAACTGAATTTGAGAAGATTTGAAAATAGCATTTAAAATTGATATAACTGTAACATAATACCTTTAACAGGTCCTCTAGTTCTGCTTATCTGAGCAGGGAGAAACCTCCAGGAACCAGAAAAGCCCCCATTCACCAGCAGCCCACACTCACCACGCTGGCCAGCGGTGTCCAGACGGCAGAAAAGCTGTTCCCAGTGGAAACAGGAGATACCCTTATCCCTCTAGGCTAGGGTTGCCAGAGGTGGCAAATGAAAATACAGGACACTGAGTTATAGTTGAAGTTCGGATAAACAAAGAATACTTGTTGACCATGAGTAAGTCCCATCCAATATTTAGGACATGTTCACATTAAAAAATTATTTGCTATTTATCTGAGATTCAGATTTAACTGGGTGTCCTGTATTTTACCTCTCTCTACTGTGGGCTCTGACCCCCTAGGAGATTTAGGATGGGTGGGAAGTAGGGGCGAGCGGGGGTTCCGCTTACCAGCCTAGGAGAAGAGCACCACTGACGGCCCCGGCTGGCATTCTCTCTCCTTCAAGCACCAGGCTCCCCTCCCTTCCACCCCTTCCTCCTTTCTCTCTAAGGAAGCTCCATGGCTCCAGCCAATCCATGGTCTTCCTTAGGAGACACCTCTGATCCCTCTGGCTGTCAGCCCCCATAACACACCTCCTAACCTGACCTCGTCCCACACTGAGGTGCACGCGTGGAGGCAGACGGTGCTTGTAAGAACTTGTTTGTTTCTACATTCTACTGTGTCTTGATTTGTTTCCCAAGAAAAGCTGCAGATGGGCTTTGGAGGGGCTCTTGATTAGAGATTTCCTTTCATTTTTTTCTTTCCCCATATAGACCCCCCTCCCGCCCACTGTATTCAGATGCCAAGAAGTAAATCGGTGTTTGTTCCCTGCGTAATCATAATTTCAAGACCTGAATTAAAGTGAGGGCTGAGCCAGTATGCCCAGCTTACCTAGGAGAAGTTTCTATAGACCCTTATAGACACTGGCCTGATTCCAGCAGTGGATGCTCTGACCACCTCCCACCCCGACCATTTCATACTACTGATAGTGGTCTTTAGTGAACCACACTCAAAAATAATCGCATATATTTAACAAAAACAAGGAGGAAAGATCTCTTGGTTTCAGGCTTCCAAGTGTGTGCTTGCAGCAAAACATTTAGAGCCAAGCCATAAAATGAATGGAAATAGGAGGAAACACTGACACAACAATAAAACGAGGGGTGAGATTAATGATGCCATAATACAATCTATTTTCATTTGGTGCAGAGAAAATTAATTTTTGAAGGCATTTCATTTAACTTTGCAATATTTTGCAGTATAACCTTTGATGCCTGAAACTTTTCTCTTTCATCCCCTTTAAGCCTGAGAATGGGGAAAGCCAGTTTTACGTCTGGTTGTAAGTATTGCTTCATGGCAGATGACCAGGCTTGCTGCCTCTGCAAGCAATGTGTACTCAGGGAACAGAAGTTATTGCTGACCATAATCTCAGCTCTTTACCTCCTATTGAAACATCCACTTTAATAAGCCAAAATTCAACTTCCAAAAGAATAAGATGTGATACCTTCCAGAGCAAGGCACCGGGGTGGGCTTGACGACCAGATAAGGTTGTGTAAGCACTCGAGATACTCCGACCCCTCGAGTTTGAATCCAGGAAAGCAGTGATAGGAGATCACAGTTCCCACTGGGAAGGAGGTCTGGAACTCGGAGATGTTCACATAGCCATTAGAAGAGGCGAGCGGTCTCAGGCAGCCTGCGACATGGGAAAGAAAAAGGGAAGTGTCTCACGTGGTCATCTTTGTACACCTGAAAGACAAAGCACTATATGTCTTTCTGTTTCCCCCGCTGAAAACGCGGCATGGCCTCCGAGGACCGCACACCTTGGTCTTAAATGCTCAGACCTCCTTATCTGTGTACCTATTCTATTTCTAAAGCAGGCATTTGCTTGTATAGTTGCAAGTGGCATCGAGAGGGTCAGACGAGTAGGGAAGTAGTAACGAGAGGTGGAGCTGTGGATCGGGACACCCCTAGCCGGTGGTTCCAGCCCTGACTGCATGTTAGAATCACCTGAGGAAAGTTTTTAATTAATTTATTTTTCACTCAAGTATAGTTGATTTACAATGTTGTGCTAATTTCTGCTGTACAGCAAAGTGATTCAGTTATACATATACATACATGCATTCTTTTTTATATTCTTTTCCATTATGGTTTATCACATAATGGTTTATCACATATGGTTTATCACATAATGGTTATCACATATGGTTTATTATACTGAATATAGTTCCCAGTGTGATACAGTAGGACCTTGTTGTTTCTCCATCCTGTATATAATCGCTTACATCTGCTAATCCCAACCTCCCACTCCATCCCTCCCCCCAACCCCCTCCCCCTTGGCAACCACAAGTCTGTTCTCTATGTCCGTTTCTGTTTCATAGATAGGTTCATTTGTGTCATATTTTAGATTTCACATATAAGTGATATAATACGGTATTTGTCTTTCTCTGTCTGACTTACTTCATTTAGTATGATAATCTCTAGTTGCATCCATGTTGCTGCAAGTGGCATTATTTCGTTCTTTTTTATGGCTGAGTAATATTCCATCGTATATATGTACCACATATCTTCTTTATCCATTCCTCTGTTGATGGACATTTAGGTTGTTTCTATGTCTTGGCTATTGTAAACAGTGCTGCTATGAACATTGGGGTGCATGGATCTTTTTGAATTAAAGTTTTGTCCGGATAGATGCATGGGGGGGGATTCCTAGGTCATATGTTAATTCTATTTTTAGTCTTTTGAGGAACCTCCATACTGTTTTCCACAGTGGCCCCACCTACTTGCCTTCCCACCAACAGTGTAGGAGGCTTCCCTTTTCACCTGAGGAAATTTTTAAAAACACTAATGCCCAGACCTGTGCCCGGGTAGGTATCCAGCCTGGACACCCCTACCTTTTTTAAAGCTCCCCACATAATCTTAAAGTGCCATCAGGGCTGAGAACCACTGAGGTGCCACAGAGGGAAGAGAGACTATTTCCTGTTTCAGCAGTGGTGGTGGGCAGCTCGAGAAGGTTAGGATGCAGACTGGGTTCCACGGCAGCAGGTAATGGAACAGACACCTGCCTGACGCAGTGCAATGGAAGTTTTGAAAATCCCATTGTGTTTTAGGTGAAATAGGAAAGTAACATGTAACGCAGTGGTTCTCAAACTTGAGAATAACCCAGGGAGGGCTTGTAGGACAGACTGCTGGCCCACACACCCAGAGCTTCTGGTTCAGTGGGTCCGTGTGGAGCTCGAGGATTTGCACTGCTACAGGTTTCCGGGCGCTGTTGCCGTGGCACCAGGCTTTGAGCAGACGTGCTGTAGCGAGTTTGTGCACCATGCACAGGATACTGTGTGCCGTCCGAGTGAGCGTGAGGCCTCGATCCCTACTTCTGTAAAACAGTAGCTGCCTTTTGTCCTGAAGCCTGTGCAGCCAGTGGAACATTCCCAGTGGCACAGCAGCCCACTTGGTGTGGCATCTGCTGTGAATAGTGAATTTCTTATTGGCTTCAGCAGCTTCACTGGAGGGAATAATGACCCTGCAGAGCTGTGCTCTTCCCGGGGAGAACTAATTGTGTGTGAAGTAAATAATAGATAATGGAAAAACCTACTTTCCCTTCCAATCACCGAGCACAAACTGTATCACGCAGGCACTGAAGCAGATGACGGAACTCCTCTCTTAAGATGACTCTCTGACACATTACAATACAAGCGTCGAAGAGCTGCGTATTCAGCGAACTGCTCGGGTCGGCGCCTTAGACTGTGGTGTCTGTGTCTGTATCAGAGCAGACACAGACAACACAGTGAGGGGTGCAGAATGTAGGACTCATTCACTCTGGGGTCGTCAAGGGTCAACCTGCACCGCTGCATCCTGGTGTCCTGGAGCCCCGCAGACCCCACAGACCCCAAAGATCCCTGCCCAGAACAAGCCACACTCAGGATGGACCAGATCAGAAACGCATGGTGCCCAGCCATCCTTTTGGGCAGTCCCAACGGTCTTAAAGGATTTTTTTTCTTTTTCGGAGCTGAAAATTAACACTGTTCATGGCAAAAGTGAAATGTGTGAAGGGAGTTTGGCAATCAGGCATAAACAGGATCAGTAACTGAGAAAAAAAAAAAAAAAGATAAGCAGATCAACACCAACAAGGGAATGTGTTAGAACCCTGAGCAGGGTTCCAATGTGTGGGCACACGTGACTGTGCCCCTGCCTCCTTCTGGGAAGGAGTGTGGTTCTAAGCTACCCATGTGGATAGACTGCATCCCCTAAGTCAAAAACTAACTCCGACCCACAGGGAGCAGGAAGCATCGGCACGTGGATCTCTAAAACACAAAGTTCCGGGGAAAAAATGGCCTTGGAACGGTTCCCACCTCCGACCCCAGAAGGAGAGGAAAGGGGTTGGAACACGTGCAGCCAATCAGAGAAGGAAAGCTATGCTCACACTCGGTTGGAGGACAGCCTGTCGTAAAAATACAGTAGAAAACTGACGTCAACTCAATAGTTGAATGTGATTTCTATTTGCACTTCGAGATAATAGAGAGACGGTTCCTCAGGCTGCCGCCCCTGGATCTATAGGTGCAAATAAAAATTACAGGATGAAATGTCCCTCGAAGGGCCAATTATATACCCCCTGGGGGCTCGAGAGGTGTCAGGCTGTCTAAAGCAACCCTGCTGTGCCCACGCGGGTGGACGGCAAGGTGCAGGGGCTGGAGGGGGGTATCAGGGCCCAGACCAGGGGCACCTCCTCTGTGGGGACCGAGGGCTCTGAGGAGGGCTGAAAGTGGGCTGTGGGCTGTACTGCTGTTTGAAGAAGCACACCTTTCAAGAGCGGCCAGCCAGCTCTTCTGTTGCTGCAAAAAACATCGAAGCTGTGTTATGACTGAGATTTTGTAAGGGGTGCTAGAGGGGAGGGGCGAAAGGGCACAGACAGAGCAAGAGGCAAGCCTGCACCTGAACTCGTGACAATGACACCCCAAGATGTCTATCCCCATAGGGCATTTAAAAAAATCATCGGGGTAAAAAGAACTCCTAAAGAAGCGTACTGTATTTAAGGGATGTAAAAGGAAATTGAAAGGGTGGGAGAACCGAAAGACAAGTGGAAAATATGAAAGCGAGAAGGGGTTGGAGTCTGAAATAATTTTCTTGGCCGTTACTCGGATAGCGCCGCAGGACTGGAACGAATCCATGGTTAATAAAGTTCATTTGGATAAACAGCCCCACCTAAAAGCCGGCTGCTGATTCTGTGGAGAGTCTCTAAGAGAGTACAAATAAATCACGTGTCTCCTTTAAGAATGTAACACATAACACGCTAAACAACCCAGAAGCTTCTGGGGAGAAATGCAGGAGGGTGAGGACCTCGGCTGCCTCTGTCCTCCTAATCCTGAAGCCTTTGTTTCTTCAAGGGGCCGTGACTCCTAAACTCTCACATAAGGAAATGATTTATTTCCAACTATGGGGTGCACAAAGCAATATCAGAGTCTGCCCGTCATGATTTCCAAGCAGAAAGTTGACATCCGTCTCAACTTTAACATGCCAGTGCTTTTGGTGTAAATACGATTGCTAGCCTTCTCCCTTGGATTATGAATTATGCATGGGTTTCTTAGTCCTTTGGTCCAAGTCACATGTCAAAAAATAAAATCAGAATTAATGGGAACTCGAGGGCTTATTTTCACAAACAGGGGGCCCTCTGTGTCGGCCCAAGCAAATTTAAAAAACGCAGGAGGATAAATATTCATCGTATGGTTTGGATGAAATTTGAATTTGATTATTTTTCTGCTCCTCATGCATTATAAAAAAGGATAACATTATTAAGAGAAAACAGCCTCTGTAAGATTGGCTTTAAATATATTCGCACCACAACCGAAATCAGTATAAATGCTGTTATTTCCATTAAATATACAATAGTTCATCATTGTGTTCACAGCCCAGTTACAAGGCTCCTAATTCTGCAACGACTTTTGGTTTCTTAGAATAAAGGAGACATCCAACACACTAAAGAATAAGGTATCTCCCATTTAAACTTTAAAGCTGGGTGTACAGAGCTGGAGAGAAGCACAGGGAATTGTGGGAAGATTCCAAACACAGAGCTGTGGTGATCAGAGTGCAGTACAGCTGAACCATGGGGTGTGCGTGGCTTTGTGTTTCCCCCGTCATCCTATTAGAGAAACGTGTACCCGCTCCACAATCAAGTCTGAGAGAACAGCTGAGAACCACAGCCTCAGCCCCGTACCTTGACAGATGGGCAGATGGTCCCACGTTCCGTCATCACGACATAATGAAGCCATGTTGTACCGGTCAGGGTACCGGATCTTGAATCCTTCGTGACAAGTGATGATTAATTTATCTCCATGTCTGTATGTCTTGTTATGAATCTCGGCATCTTCAATTTGCGGGATGCGGCAATCTGCAATTGCGTAAAAAGGACACATTATTTTTGGAATTCAAACAGTTGTGGTTCACAGCTTCACAAGAAAGCTCTTATTTTCACACCTGGTCTCAACCTACGCGGCGATCTGATAAATGGTTCCTTATTTATCACTAGACTCAGGTCCCAAGGGCAAGCAGCAGAAGCTGCAGAACCTGCTTCACAGAGAAATAGGAAGAGGGGTCGAGGTCCAAAAGGAACCTTGTTTTCCGCCCGCGACACCTTACACTTTACAGTTGAGCTTACAGGCAATTTTGGCAACGAGTGAAGAAAGACAAAAGCTGGGGATTCACCTGAACTATCTAGCTGGTTGCCCACTTGGCTGTGTTTGTGGACCGCGCACTGCACCAAACAGCCTGGCTGGCTGCTCTCGCCTGGTCCTCCCGCCTCTGCCTCTGGGGCGAGGGCCTGGGCCTGATAAGAAAATGTGCCTTGCAGAACAGCAGGGGGCCGAGCTGGGGCTGCATTTGCTATTAGCATTTCCCATCCACCTTATCGGTTTTTAAAAAGATAATAAATAGAGCAGCACATACTACTGCCAATATCACAAAAGACTCAGAGAAAGCAACCTTTGAAAAATGGAATTTTTCAAATGCCTTTGAAAAATGGAATCAGAGCAGAACGCAGGTGGCTGGGAGGGGAAGAGGCCACGGGGTCAGGAGAAGGGTGTTGGGGGGACAATCATGCAACAAAATGATTAAAAGAGAAAATAAATCTAATCAATCGTGGGGCTTCCCTGGTGGCGCAGTGGTTGAGGGTCCGCCTGCCGATGCTGGGGACGTGGGTTCGTGCCCCGGTCTGGGAAGATCCCACTTGCCGCGGAGCGGCTGGGCCCGTGAGCCATGGCCGCTGAGCCTGCGCGTCCGGAGCCTGTGCTCCGCAACGGGAGAGGCCACAACAGTGAGAGGCCCGCGTACCGCAAAAAAACAAAAAAAAAAAGCCAAAAAACCCTAATCAATTGTAACTATCCACTTCTAACTCTACCTACCTCCAGTTTACCCTGCGGGCCAGTCCACTCTGCGCTGGGAAGTTGGGGTCCTGCCCCCTCTGGCCCCTCCCCCCTCTAAACACCGCCCAACTAATCCCATCTAATTTTTTTTTTTAAACATATATTAGAGTTGATTAACAATGTTGTTGTGTTCGTTTCAGGTGTACAGCAAGGTGATCCAGTGATACGTATATATGTATCTTTTCAAATTCTTTTCCCGTGTAGATTATTGCAGAATGTTGAACCGAGTTGCCTGTGCTATACAGTAGATCTCTGTTGGTTATCCATTTTAAATATAGCAGTGTGTACACGTCAGTCCCATCTGGTTTAAGTCACTTTGTTCACCATGTGTCTCTCTTCATCTCCTGTTTTAAAGTCTCTGATTTTACACGCATATATGCTTGTAAGCATGAGCTATTTATTTATTTCTACTTTCAGAGTCAGGTAGATGAGTTATGTTTCCAGTTTGCTGCTTCTTAGTTTTTTGAAACAAGGCAAAATTTAAAAACAGCACTTTGATGATCATAGAAGCTTCCTTCAGAAATTTCTCAGTGGGTTTCTCAGCCACTCCCCAAAGCCTCTTGAATCCAGAATAGGTTGGAATAGTATTAATAGGAGGTCTGGCCTTCAAGTTCCTCTAAGCTTTGAATGGTTAGCTCTAGGGTGATGAGCCTCGGGAAGCCTGAGGCAGGTGGCTGGCCTGAGGATGCCTCTGCGAGCTGGGAACTTGGGTTGCTTTCAAAAGAGCATGTCCCAGGAGCTTTGATGTGCGGTTGAAGCTGGGTTTACTGGGGGCAATCTGACAACAATGGACTCCAGAAAACAGAATGTTAGTGACGGGAAAGCCTCGGGCAGAAGAGGCCTCCCAGGCAGAGCAGGGCCCTGGCAGCTGAGAGCGCAGGGGTGGCGGCCATTCACCGTCTCCTGTGAGTTCTCCGGGGGCAAACGCTTGCGAGCCCGGCTCTGCCTTGATCTCAGCCCTCGTTCCCACCATTAACTTGAGAGCAGCGACTGTGTCGCCACTTCCTCTGACGTTCCCTCCGTGCCCCCAGACCTTTGTACACACCTGGCAAAGGAAGGCTGAGGGAAGCCATGTGGACCTTTGCCCGAGAACGCTGTGCGCCTGCAGCCCCCTCGAGAGGCTGATTTACAGGCTTTCGGGGCAGTCCTGGCAGCTAAGCCTTCCCCTGAGGAAACCCATCATCAGCTCTTCCCTTTGCCTGTGGATTTCAACAGAGAGAGTCTTGGCTGGAGAACTGGGTTCTGGTTTCAATCTTACTTCTCATTTTTGTGTCTCAGGCTACAGAAAGAGGTTTTCTAACTGTTCATGTTTAACCAATAGTTTTTCTGCAAGAATAGCTGAATTCCTCCCAAATCAATCCCAGAATAATGATGACGGGAGTCACAGATACTTGACAGTTCTCTGCACACCGCTGCTGCTTCTTCTTAATGGAAAATGTGAATTACATTTTTTTCAATATCGCTATGCAGAAATTATTCACAGCAAATAAAAACACATTTGTCAAGGCATCCGTCTGTAAAATCTGGGCTGTAAATACATCCTGTGGTAGTAACTTATATGACTAACAGTTATTTTCATGGTTGACTTAAAACTTATTCAAGAATTAACCAGTATACTCAGGAGGTGGCCAACCGGTGGCAGTAAACTCAATGGACAGAACTGGCCATTCGGACACTGTGACATACGGACACTGGCTGACCAGGAGCGGAAGCACCCAGCCTTGTTTTCAAGAGTGGCTTCTCTGCATAGTGGTCTATAGTATAGAATGCTTTGAACTTCTAATTAGAATGTCACGTTTCCATAGGCAGGAGCCCGGGAATATAGGTTCAAAGGGAATTCACAGCCTCCCAAATGCGAGTCATTATGTACTCTACTCAAAGAAGAGTCAGCAGAGAGAGTGATATAGGGCCAGTTTACTATGTGAGTGGAACCCCATATCCACTGGGGAGTCAAAAGTTGGAGTTCAAACTCCACCAAGGTAGAGAGGCCAGAAGCGGCCGTGCCCTCCGCGTAAGCACAAAACTCAAACAGACCATCTCTAACAAAGCCTAACCTAAACGTTGATGGGAGAAAATACCATCCAGAGCCTTTCTAATTATTTTTTATCCAGAATGTCTGGCACCTAATCCCCCCAACTGAAGGAGGGTGAAGTAGAAAGAAGGCTTTGGAATAAATACATGTCCTAACCAGTTATCGGTAGCAGTCAACAACTCTGGACCTTATTTCTCTGGAAAGAAACAAACCAGGATCTTTAGTCTCTGAAAAGAAACATGCAATCTTCATCAATTCTAAAGTTTCATATAGAAATAACATGATTTTCTATAGCACAAATGCATCCAGCTGACACAAAGAATTTGTAAAAACTGCTTCAAATATGTTGTTACCAAAGAAATATACCTATGAAAAAAGGTCTATCAAGTAGAATCAGGTCAACAGTCAAAACTTTTGTCTACAGGGTATCAGTGGGCACTTTGGAGATAAATTTGAGGGATATCAAAAGCTTCCATTCCAGAAATCATTTTTCACCAGCCTATCACTATCATTATTTTTGTATCTTGCTACTAGTAACAATGAGGTTTTAATATGATAAATAAATAACAGAGTGGATAAAAGGCCCTAAGGCTGTACTACACATGTATACCTACGTACAAATCAATTGATCAGATTTAGTTGCAGAGAGCAGGGTCCTAAAGGATGGAGCAGGAAAGAGAAAGAGGAATTTTAAAGAATATGTGCCATGTGTTAGATTTACTTCTCTTTTATTTAATTAATTTATTTATTTTTATAAATTTATTTATTTTCTTTATTTTTGGCTGCACTGGGTCTTCATTGCTGCGCACGGGCTTTCTCTAGTTGCGGCGAGCAGGGGCTACTCTTTGTTGTGATGCGCAGGCTTCTCATTGCAGTGGCTTCTCTTGTTGCGGAGCACGGGCTCTCGGCACGTGGGTTTCAGTAGTTGTGGTACACGGGCTCAGTAGTTGTGGCACACATGCTCTAGAGAGCAGGCTCAGTAGTTGTGGCACACGGGCTTAGCTGCTCTGCAGCATGTGGGATCTTCCCAGACCAGGGCTCGAACCCGCGTCCCCTGCGTCGGCAGGCGGATTCTTAACCACTGTGCCACCAGGGAAGTCCCAGATTTGTTTCCCTTTAAAATATTAGTTATACATGAAAACAAATCTGATTCCTTAAAAATGCTATGTTTCAACATCAATATGCCCCCCAAAGTGTTCCTAGGAACATGAATACATGATACTCACTCAGATTCACAATTCATATTAGCATATTAAAGGCTCTGAAAGCCTTGCTGCAAAGAATTCTACTGGACCTTGTTTAAGCCAGCACTTGTAAAGCTGTTTACTCATTCATTGAGTTATTGAGTACTTACTCTAGGCCCAGTACATTCTAGGTGCTGGGGATAGAGAGAAAGTCAAGTATCTTACTCTTATAGCATTTGCAATGAGGGAGACTGCTAACAGGCAATGATCACTGCTATGATGAACAAATGACAGGCAATGATCACTGCTATGATGAACACATAACAAGGTAATAGGATAGGAACTGACTTGGGCACTCCTTTAATTTGCGTAGACAGGCAAGGCGCCTCTGAGGAAATGACTTTTATTAAGCTAAGACCTAATGACAAGAAGAATCCAATCATGTGTGGACCAGGAAGAAGTTTCAGCCAGAGGGAACAGCTACTACAAAGGTCAGGAAAGAGCTCAGTGTCCTTAAAAACACAAAAGAACATCAGGGACTTCACTGGCGGTGCAGTGGTTAAGACTCCATGCTTCCAATGCAGAGGGTGCGGGTTCGATCCCTGGTCGGGGAAATAGGATCCCACATGCTGCACAGCATGGCCCAAAAAAAAGGCTAATCTCATGTTAAAAAAAAGAAAATCGGTGTGCCTGTAGTAAGCAAGAGGGAGATGGAAAGTCAGATCATCCAGGGTCTTGTAGATGAGGACAGGGG